AGGTCCTGGAAGCTGCCATCAGCCATTGCCAGCGGGCCACACCAGAGCCCGCACGCCCTCCTGGACTCTCTCCTTCTGTTTCCCGTCTCCTCTCCATCTCTGCAGTGATTTTCCTAATGCCTCCAGGTTGTTTCCCAGTTCATTCTTCTTCCAAATCTTTCCTTGTTACTCAGACACTTGGGAACACCCCTGCCGTCTTTCATTGTTGTTTATTTTTTTCCAGGAGAAATTTCTCAACTAGATGTCGTCACCTTGAACAGCTGGAAGGGAATCTCTCTCATGTTTTCTTGAGTCTCCACCCTCCCCTTCCCAAAAGTTCCCCATCCTTGGAAGGGTTCAGGATAAAGCAAGGTACTCACCAGTGAATGAACAAATGACTGAATTTCTCCAAGGCAATTCAGATAACTTTTTTTTTCTGCCTCCAGTAGTTATCTTGATATTCTTACTCTAGTATTCCCTAGTATCTTATTTCATCAATTATTTCCTCTCTCAACTCTGCCTTCACCTTCTCTCTTCCTTCTGAGTCCTTGCTCTCAATCTATAAACAGGCTTAAGGCTCTTTCATTGCAAACAAGTAAATGAATATACACAAAACCTTTCCTTTAACTCTGCATCCCATTCCTTTATTCAACATATATTACTGTGCCTACTATGTGCTGGTACTGCTGGTGGTGCCAGATGGAGACAGAACACCTGCCGCTCTCAGGGAGCTGGTGAGGGGGTTTGCAGATAACACGTAAGCAAACGCGAAGAGCTCTGGCTGCAGCTCTATCATTCAAGGCGAGGCCACTCGGTGCTGTTAGAAGATCTTCCATTGACGCTTCCTGCAGGCTGATGCAGCCTTGGTGACAGAGTGAGCTGGAGTTCAGTCTCCTGGTCCCCTGCACCGAGGCCCTGGCAGTCCCACTGCCCTTTCCTCTCACACCCAGCCTCCTTAAAGGAGGTGCCGGGAACGGCAGCCCATATTCTTTAACTAGCAGCAAGCTGGCCTCAGTTCCCACTGTCCAACCTCCATGCAAAGGCCGGCGGGCTTTAGGTAATCACATGACCTTGGGCCCTAGACATTACTGTCCTTTCTCCATTGGGTTCCACCTTCCTTCTCTTGTCCGCCCCCAATTTCTCTAGTTACTCTTTGTCTTCCTTCCAGGTCTGTGTTCCAAGCTTCTGATCCCAACCCTCTTGGGTTTTCTCTTCGTGTTCCCAGGGAGCAAGCTCTCCCCTTCTCAGGGTTCAACCACGTCTCTCCACTGATGAACCCAAGCTGTCTTCAGATCACTGCTCCCATATTCCCAAGACCTGTCATCATGGGCACATGACCAATGCCAGGGCATAGGACTCCATGCTTTGGAGGGCCCCCATTTGAGCTTTAATGCTCTGTGGCCACCATATTGAAATTCTCACAAACGTTATCTTTGAATTCTGAATTTGCGTTTTGTAAACATATTGGTTTGCTAGGGCCACCATAACAAAAGACCACAGATTGCATGGCTAAAAGAACAGAAATTTTTTTTCTCACAGTTCTGGAGACTCAAGTCCAAGGTCAAGATGTCAGCTGAGTTGGTTTCCTCTGAGGGAAGGAAAGCGAGGGATCTGTCCCAGGTCTCTCCTCTTGGCTGGCAGATGTCCAGCTACTTGCTGCCTCTCCACATGGGTGTCTCTCTGTGTCCTAATCTCTCCTTCTTATGAAGACACCATCAGATTAGATTAGTGCCCCCCATAAGAGCCTCGTTTTAACTTAGTTATCTCTTTAAAGACCTTGTCTCCAAATACAGCCACATTTTGAGGTACCAGTGGTTAAGACTTCAGCTCCGGAATTTGGTGGACACGGTGCAGCCCGTAACAGTAAGTGAAGTCTGGCGGGGCAGTAGAGCATGTGCTGGAGCTTAGGATCCTGGCTCCAGGTAGTTCTGCTTTCTGCTGCCTCCCTGGGATGTGTTCTCTGTCATCAGCTTCCTGCCTGCCAGCTGCCCAGCTACCCCATCCTTAAGAGCAGACCCAGGAGCAGATGCTAGGAGGGTCAGGGTCCAGCCATCCTTGCCCAGGATGGGAAGCACCACTGCCTGCTTGGAGGTGATTTGGCATGGGTGAGCCTTGCACCCACGCCAGGTATCCAGAGCATCCCAGCTGACATTGTGATCCTTGGGGGATCCTTGTGGTCCATGGATCAGGCAGCATGCTGTGGCAAGGAAAACTGACTTCCTAACCTTGCATCCCCCAGTCAGTCAGCCCCTCTGAAAATCTGACTAAAGCTAACCAACCTCTCCTGTGGAGTTTCCATACATCGACATCCATGATTCTATACATGTTCAGGGAGTAACGGACTCCATGAAGCTAATGGATGGACCCCCTGTGGTCTGGCTCTGCTTACCTTTCCAGCCTCATCTCAGTAGCACTCTCCCCATGCGGCAGCTCTCCCAAATTATTGTAGCCATTCTCTGAATGCAGTTTTCCTCCCGTGCTTCTGTAGTTTTGCAGATGCTCTTTACTCTGCCTACCATATGTTTTACTCCATTATCATTATAACAGACTACTATATAGCCTTCAAAATTAAAATTATAGTCTATCTCAGGGCATCCTTACTGTCATTACTTAAAGGTAAACTGAAGTGCTCCTGTAGGACCTCTCTGCACTTCTTTTATGAGATTTACAACACTGAAGTCTGATTATTTCCTAACTTGTCTGTCTGTTCTACTAAATTGCAAGCAGTTTTGAAGGCAAGACTATGTTTTAATCATTGCCATTTTCACAGTGCCTGATGAAGAGCAGAAATATTTGCTGAGCACTCAGGTAGATGCATGTGTGAATGGATGACTGATTGAGGAGATGCGTGAGGTTGTGGTGAAGGACCCGCACCTTGCTGTCAGACAGTCCTGGGTTTAAATCTTGGCTCTGTCAGCAACTGGTACCGTGACCTTGGGGACATTACCCTTAAACCTCAGTTTTCCAGTTTCAAAATGGGGTAAATAGACTTCACCTCCAAGTAAACTGTGTTCAGTTTATATCGATGAGTAACAGCTATAGCTACATGTAACTAAGTCCTATCACTAAATTACTGTGAGTGTGAAAGGTAGTTTTAGAATGAAAAGACAAAATTAAGGGACAATGGCCAGAGAAAGACAAATATTGTGTAATATCTCTTATATGTGGAATCTAAAAAATACAACAAATGAATGAATTAAAAAAAGCAGACTCACAGATAAAGAGGACAAACTAGCAGTTACCAGCGGGGAGAGGGAAGGGGGAGGGGCACCATGGGGGTAGGGGAGTAAGAGGTGTGACCTATTATGTATAAAATAAGCTGCAAGGGTGTATTGTATAACACAGGAAATGTAGCCCATATTTTACAATAACTGTAAAGGAGTATAACCTTTAAATGTTGTGAATCACTATAATATATACCTGTAACATATAGTATTGCACATCAACTGTACTTCAATAAAAAAAGGGAAAAGAAAGCTGTGCTCTTATAGATTAATTTATTAAATTTATTTTTTAAATTACCCATTAAATGTCTACTGGATGCAAAGCACTATGCTAGGACCTGTGGAGAAATTAAACATAAAGAAGGCCTATGGAGAAATAGGAGGAATCTATTTTAGAGTGAGACTTGAAAATGACAGGTGCCATAAGAGAGGTATCAGATTTTAGCATAAGAGTTCATTTGTATAAACAACAAGGTCCTGCTGTATAGCACAAGGAACTATATTCAGTATTTTGTAATAGCCTATAATGAAAAAGGATATGAAAAGGAGTATATGTATATATATATAACATCACTACTTTGTATACCAGAAGTTAACAAGCAAACATTGTAAACTGACTATATGTCAATTTAAAAAAAAGGTGTGTTTGTAGCTAAGGCAGCAAGGAAGGCTTCCTGGAAGAAGAGCCATTTGAGATGTACCTTGAAGAAAGGGTAGGAAAATGTTGCTGGCACTGGGGGAGGGTAGAAGGGAACGGATGCAGCCGTGGGGAGGCAGAGATACGGAGGACAGAACTGGGAGCTCTGCCATCATCCTCTTGATGATGCTGCTCCCGCTGGATGCTGTGGTTTCAGCCTCTGAAACGGATGGTTGGTAGCCTTTTCCATGCAGGACAGCGTGACCTTGTTCTCTGCCTCATGAGCCATTGGCACTCTGCCCGAAAGAGGCCACCTGATTCTGACGGCTAAGGCAGAGACGGGCCTGTTTACACGGCTGCCTTTCAGCAGCTTAGTTCTGTGGCTCTGCTCTCTGCCCGGCTTCACCATGTCTGGCCCACACAGAGCGCAGGCTCTACTGCGCGGGGCATAGACCGACACCCCGTGCCTGACCAGGAATGTGCAGCTGGAACCAGTGCGGATGGTTAGGCAAGGACTAGGTCACGTTACGTGATGTGGATGAGGCTGATGAGGACAGCTGTAAAGTGGCTTTGCAAAATATCTCATTTTACGTTTAGTAATGAAGCTAGCTTTCAAAAAAATGAATCAGCTGTCATTTCCAGGAATCCTTTCCTGGCACCGGCAGACAGAGTTAATCACACAGCCATCCTTGCTGTTTACCCCACTGCAGTACAGTTCTGGTTAAATTATGGTTCTGTGGCACCAGGCTTCCTGAGCAAGGCAAGCCCCTCGTGTACTCACATGTGACCTTGGGCAATTCACTGAACGTCTCTAAGCTGCAGTTTTCCCCATCTCTAAACTGGAAATGGTAATGGTAGCACCTGATAGGGTGCCTGAGCGTGGTAAAGAAATGACGCCTTCAGTAAAGCCCGTCTCAGCGCCGGGCCCACAGCAGTTGCTTTCTCTCCACTCACCACCAGCTCCCTCATCTTTAGTTCCTTATTTAAAAGCCATCTCCGCTGTGAGGCCATCTCCCACCACCTGGTTTAAAGCTATACCCCACCACCACCACGCCGTACCCCTGTTGAATCAACATTCTCTGTCCCGTTCCTGAGTTATTTTTTCTCTACAGCACTTATCATTATCCACACGGGACACGTTGTACTGGTTTGTTATGTTTATTGCCTGTCTCTTCTCTAGAACACAAGCTCCAGGAGGCTGTTTCCCAGCGCCCAGATCAGTGTCGGCAATGGACTGGACTCGATAATTACTTACAGAAAGGGAGAAGGGAGTCACGTCTCTAACTTGAAACTATTCCAGGCCCAGCCCCAAATGCCCTGTTTGGGGGACATCTGACTGGGCGGGCACCCGTACCACGGGGCAGGAGCAGGAAGTCAATTGGAAGTCGTAATTTAAGTAGCACATGGTGGAGCCCAGCCCTACTGAACTTGATCCCAATGCTGAGCATTTTTTCTAACCCTCATCCACCCTGCCACACTCCCGCTAGCTCAGCTCACGGGCTCCTGTCACCCAAAGTTGGCCAGAGGACACCCTGCTGAGCCGCAGGGCAAAGCGTTCTCTCTGGTCCGCTTCCCCTGCTGGCGGCAGGCTCTTATCCAGACGGTGAGTGAGGGCCGCGTGGCCACAGAGGGTTCCG